AGGGCTTTCGTTCGAGACTGTTGTTTCGCAAGAAGTAAAAAGACACAGGTGACACAGAAAAGAAAGACAGAAGCGACAAAGGAAAATAAGATGCAAGTGACACAAGACAAAAAGATAGAAGTGATCGGGCACCCCTTACCCCACTCTCTCTCTCTTTCTCATTTTTCTCGAGGTTGGTAGCTTTTGCTTTTGGGTACCAGGCCCCCTTTCGGACCTCCCGCTACTCTTGTGCGAATTCCATGCGAGCTCCTTGGTGCGGTGCAGTTTTCTTCCAAGAGGCTGTTCGGCACAGTTCACTTGTGCAGCTTCATGTGTCTCAGGCCCCACAGGTGGCAAGGTCGATAGCAGTAACATTAGTCTGCTTTTTCAGTGAGGTGGCAGGCATGCGGCAGACGTGCGGGGAGGAGCTCTTTCAGCAGGTTCATTGGCACGCAGGGTCCTGAGCCTGACCCCAACCCTGGCTCGATTTCGACTGTGTTTAGGTTAACGTTTTTGCCCATGGCTGTCGTGCAATGACGAGGTCGGTTCTGGCTCCGCAAAGGCTTTCAGAAGCGCCGGGGCGCAGAATGTCAGACCCACCGGTTCCTGCTCCCAGAGCGTCAATGCCGCCATCGGCATGGCCAAGACATCCGGGACTTCTGGCATTGCGAAGTTGTGTTCTTCAGGTTTTCTTTGGTCAGAACCTCTGGTTTCTAGCAAGCTCGGGTGCACCCAGCTGGTAACAGGTGGGTCGGTTTTGCGAGATTCCAGATGCCCGTTCCTGTAGCCTACTAGCCTGTGTGCTGTTGCCCTCCCAATGCTACCCAATGTCCCAGCTGCAGTGTCTACCGACTGAACCCAGACCGTAAAAGAGACAGGTTGTGGGTAAAACACGGGCTTATGTGTGAAAGACAAAATCTTGCTTTAGGACATTCCCTATCGAAGCTTAGATGGGATATCTTCTAAGGATGAAACAGGACGCCCTGAAGCCCTTCAGCACCCTTGAAGACCAAACCCAGACCCTGAACTTGGCCTTTGAGAAAAGTGTTAGCATCGGTAAAGGCTCTGGATGTGTATAACTGTGTAACCCAAAATGGGTTATGGGCGAATACGGGTTACACACAGGCTAACTATGGGTTACACAGGGGCTGGGTGGGGAAAGCCGGGTCTTTCCGGCACCGGGGTTGGTTTATCGCTAAACTGTGGGTGAATTATAGGTTAAACATGGGTCAATCATGGGTTGTTGCAGGTTCGGGGTGGGTAGCCTACTTTTCGGGATCTGCGGGTCAGCTCCATGCAATCCCTATGAAGGGCAAAGAAGGAGCCACTTCTTCTCTCCGCACAAGGCACGACAGACATATAGTTATATGATTTGTGAATACAAAACATGCTTTGGCTCTGCGACCCATGTTTTTCAGTTTGGATCGTTGCAGGGTGTCCTGTGCAATTTTGTGAAAGATCCCACCAGCATGAATCAGCTCAAAGCAGCGGTCAGCCCTTCAGCGGCGCAAGTTCAGACCTCAACTACCATATCTTGACTCCCTGGATGACTTAGTAGGATCATCTCAAAACACGGTTCACGAGGACAGACCTACCTTTTCCTTAAAACCGGGTCATGCTACCGTACCCGAAGCGGGTTATGAGCAGTTTGTTTTACTATTTTGGGCTTATTTTTCCGAGGTAGTAGCCCCGCAGACTCTTGTGCACAAGATATTTGACCAAGAGGCAGGCACTGGACTGATTGAACAGGTCCGCTGCATCTCCTCCCATTCTGCGACAAGCCCGTCTACGATCTCCGACCATAGGCACTTGAGTGTTTGCTGAGCGCAGGAGACCCGTTGTGGTCATGGCTGACGATCTGGGGGTGCCACGGCTCGTGGATGGAGAGCCGAGTTCCTGGGCCGACTCCCGCGGCCGGAAGCTTCCTCTGCAGGCGTAGAAGCTGCTGTCTGCTTGTGCCACCCCTCACACTTGATTTCTCCTGAGCTTCAGTTTTTAGTTGTTGAGTCAGTATTGTCTGCGAATGTTGGCGCTGGTGGAGCTTCACAGCTGCATGCTGCTTGGTGCACCTTTTGTGCCGTACTGCCATGGCTGCAGAGAGCCCTTAGATACGGGTTTGCGTTGTTCCCTTCTCTCCAATTCACAATGTCTTCTTTGCATTGGACAAACCGACACTGGCAATCCTTCGTGCACGGCCAAACGGATCTGCACTAGCATCGTTGTTCTCATTTCGAAGATTCTCAAGGCAGCTCTGTGACCTTGTAAGGTCGTGACTTGGAGGATGTAAACGTAACACTCCCAACTGGCGCAAGGGACCCGAACCACCCACTGGGCAGTAATTCTGAATGAAATAGGCTTAGGTTGGTAACATGCTACATATGAGACTCGAGGTGGCAAGCCATTGAGCCAGAAACCGAAGATACACACTTTTGGTGTGGTCATGCAGACTTCATGCACCCACTCTCGCAACAGCAATGCCAGCTGCGAGTGAACTGTATAATGCCTTCCCCTTAACATTAAACGGGGCGGGGGGGCCCCCCGCTAGTTCCCAATTCAAAAGTCATGAATCATAAGGGATGCTTTATTTCTATTTTCCCTTTCGACATAGGTTTTAGAGGGCGCGGGATGGTTTCGGTGTGTTCGATATTAGGGGGGTGTTTAATAAAAGGGGGAAGGGATTAAGCCAAATCGCAGCATGTGGCACACCCCGCAAGTGCGGCTGCACCTTGCTCAGAGGCTGCTGCTGCAATGATTTGGAGGAACATGCAGTCAGTGGGTGCCAAGCTGGGTCGGGGCCCAAGTGCATCCATTTGCATTTGCATGTAAACTCAGCTGTGACCGGTGCTCGGTATGTCAGCTGGAAACAGAGCTTCTTCCAACGAAACTACTGTACCTACAGGGCAGTATGGATCACCCTCGTGCACCTGCGAATTTTGTCGTTGCGCAGCTGCGCATGTGCAGTGGCTGTGACAGTGGCTCTGCACTTGCAGTTCACGTCGCTGGTCTTTTGGCTAAGTCGAAGACTTGTGCCGGAGTTGGCGTCAGTGTGTAGTGTGCGTTAATTAGTGTGAGGCGCCCGGGCCGCGGCCCCTCCAAAAACATCTTTCGTGGCCCACATCTGAAAGACACGTTGCATGATTTTCCGAGTGTGAAGCGAGGCGGGCCGTACATCCTGCCCAATGTCCGCTTCCAGCTCAAGGTGCCCAACTGTGCCAAGGGGCCGTTTGTACCCGACATTGCAACCTCGTTCATGATCAAAGGCGCCGGAGATCAGCCTGGATCAGACCATCCTCGGCGACTTCTTTGTGCTGACTCCGGGAGTCAAGCTTCGCTGGAATGAGGCTGGAAGCGGCGCTGTGCCCTGAAGCAGCAATGGCTTCCCGCAGCTGTCAGGCAGCCGATCCGAAGATGGACTTTGATATGTGTGCGCAGGAGCACGTTTTGTTTCTTCTCATGCTGGCAATCGACTCGGCCAAGCTGGCTAGGCCGATTCCTTGACTGCTGTGAGTCGCAGGTCTTGCAGCACGGTCCACTCATGCGCCTCAACCGGCTGTCAGTGCCTGCAGCTCACTACGAGGCAATGGCCATGCGAAGCAAGAAAGGCTGCCAGATACTGCTGCTTGCCATTCACATGCCTTGCAAAAACCACACAGACGCAGGTCGTGCAAAGTTTGGTGATGCTCCAAGAACATGCCTTCAAGTATATACTTGTGAATAGCAGTAGCGAGCACGATCCCGAAGCATTGGTTCTGAAGTGCTTTGAAGACACCAACGCATACCTGTGAGGCTGGCGGCTGTGGCGAAAAGGATGCGAAGCGACGAAAAAAGGACTTGGAGGCATTGCGCGGAGCGTAAAACTCTTGGAGTGAGGAAGTGTGCGTGCATTCGGAATCAGGCTCGTCACTACCTGCTCGACCACTGGAAGGCTGCCAACGGCAAGGCCATCTTCTGTGGAGGCACATATTCCATGAATCTGGCAGCGTTACTTCCTAAGCCCCGGCAGCACACACAGCGAAAGAAGGCTGAAGGCTTGCTACACAGAAACTAAGCTTTTTTGAGCTGCCTTCAGAACTCTTAAACCAGATAGCTCAAGGCAGCGTCTGTTCACCGAGCAATCGTAGCGAGTCTTTCGCTTCCATCTGTGTTAGCAGCGGGCCTGGGCCTGGGCCAGAGCCGACTGAACGACCAGAACCCTAACCCCTCTCTCAAGTCCTTCTGTCGCACTCTGATGCCACAGCCATGGCAAGCATGCCGTACCAGGCTCGTGCTAGACGATGATTGCGTCTGCGATCTACTTGCAGTGACCTCCTTCGCCTCGTAGCATGCAGTGCCCGGGTAGGGAAACTTCTCCAATGCCTCGCGAGTCACTGCCTGGATATGCTCCCTGTGACCTTGTGCTTCTGTTTCGTGCTGCCCTAAACAGCAGCAGCCTTTTCAGCATGCATACCCAAGCCTTCGACACTCAATCCATGTCATTCAGGTTTGTGACTTTCAACAAAAAGGCTTTCGCTGGCCTGTCTACCGCACGAAATTTCGGCTGCAGACCTTCTTTTCGAAATTCTGCAAACCTTTCACACACTGCAAGTGCGGAGTTCCCCCGAACCCTTACGAGCTGGTGCACTGGTCAAGATGTATTGTTTTGCTTGATTGCTGGCTTGCTGATCAAACGCTTCTCTCTGAGCAGACAACTCAAGTCCAACATAGCCCATGTTTGGATATCGGGAGGCCGTGATGATGAGCAAGTCCGCCTGCTTCGAGGAATTGCACTCATGAGTGACTACGAATCTCGATGTGCAGCCCACGGGGCCACGGTTCTTTCTAGACACAGGTTGGTCCCTCCTGCGCATGGCAGGTGACGAGCTTCAGATTCAATTTGTTGCCGGATGGGTTAGAGATTGGCAATGTTCGTTGACCACGACTGACCCTTTCAGCTGTTCGACCTCGAGCTCTGCGGCTTTCGCCATACCTTCTGCTGCATGTTAGGGAGTCTTTCACGTGCGGTCTACATGCTTGCCGCTGAGGATGCACAGCTTGGCAAGCGGGTTGCAGAATTGAAGGAGGTGCTCGAGGCAGGGTCCGGTGCCCAACGCGCCGACTGCACCCGTCGGCGATATGCAGTGTTCCTTTACCGTTGACGCTGCTGCGGACGCTGCTGCGGACGCTGCTTGAAGATTATGTTGCCATTTGTGTGACCAGTTGTGTGCAAGCCCTAGCATGGCGGGATGCCGCAGTAGCACGCAGAAGCCTTGTTACTTTCCAAAGCCTTGCTTGATGTAGCCCTGCCCACAGCAGCAGACGTAACATGCACGCCCCGTACGCAGGAGACGGCGGTGCCGACGAGCGACATTGACAAGCTTGTGGCAAGCAGCAAGGGCTTGAAGGATAAGCAGAGCAAGGCCTCAGCCGAAATGTATACTCAGATGGCGAAGATTTTTTGCGAGTGTGTGTGTGTGTGTCTGCGCAGATTTTCGGGGTGGAATCGTTGGAGGTTTCCAGACTCCAGACTCTAAACCCCAAACAGAGCTGGCTGCATGTTTTGGAGCATCTTTCGTGGAGTTGCGAAGGCGTTGTTCTCATGCGGCACCCGAATTTGTTAGGGTGTCTGCTGCAGTAGCTCAAGCTTGAGGCTTTACAAGCACCCCATCATGTCCAAGGCCCGTCATTTCCCCACAACCAGCCCAAATCACCCCAGCGTCCGCTGAACGTTTGTGAAGTTGCAACCTGAATTACTGAGTCCCGACCAACGCACGGAGACCTCGACTGGCAAGTCCGAGTTGTGAGAGTGTAATTGCTGAATCGTTTCTTTCAGCTTAAGTTAAGTTGAAATTGCAGACTAAAATTAGGATGTCGAGGTGAGGGGGTTTCTGTAGAGGCGACAAGGTGTCTTCACGGGTCCATCGGGAAGAGCCGACGAGAGTCAGCTCATAGCGACGGTCCCTTGTTGGCTTTTTGGTTGGCCAGGCCAAGAAAGCCGCCACGAAGAAGACCATCGTAAAGAAGCGGCAGCGCATGCGCCACCAGCGAGGTGGCGCCATTCATGGCCGCAAGCGCGAGCCCGGCGCGAAGAAGAAGGTAGGTAGGGTTTGCGCAGATCATGCCGGTGTTGATTATCGTATGAACCACCTTCGCGTGTCCAGCATTGTTTCTGCAAGCCTCCAAATCGTGCAAATCCTCCCACGGATAAGTTTCCATGCCAAAAACGGAACCAGGAAGTCCCGTGGGAGAAGAAGTGGCCCCAGAATACACTGGCTTCGGGTTTCAATTGTTGTTCTTGAACAGATCTGGCATACCCTTGTGAAGGCCAAACAAGTGACCTGTCAAATGTTTGCAATTGGCTGGAGGCCTTGCACACTTACAGCGTTGCTTTGCGGGTGCGCTTGGCGAAAGCCAAAGCTGCCGTCCGTGAGCGGGTCTCGGAGCTTGCGTGAAAAGAGTAAATGGGCACCCAGACCTATGGCCATAAAGCCGGATGTTTTAGAGGGAACATTAGAATCATTCCAATCCTATATTACAATACTTGCTACTAGATTGACGAATTTTAAACTGGCATGACTTGATAAATCTGATGTGTATATATATATATACAGTTGTATATATGTATATATATATATAATTATATATATATATATATCTCTCTTGCTCTCTCATTCAAGTTATATTTGAAGATGGAGAACATAAGATATCTTCAACTTACGTTTAATCGCCAAATTACGAAAACAACTGAATTATATCGAGTATGATATTGATCTTAAAACCAACTATCTCAACAACACAACAAAACGTGTTGAAATACGGACCTGTGTCTTCTAACACTTTTGTTTTCTGCTATATTTGCCTATCATATACACTATTAGATTATGGGGGCTGATAACAGCCCAGCCTACCCGTAATAGTGTCAAGTAGCGCCTAATCAGCGTTGTGAGATTCCTTGAGAGATAAAAGCTGTACTTGTGTTGGCAGGCAAGTTGTCTATTGTTCTCACTTTTGCTTCATCCCGGTTATGCACTTCGAGGATTGTTTCGTGGCGGAGGATCAGAAGGAGGTGTCAATTTGGCGGATGCGAGCCTCTGCAACAGACTAGGACAAAATCCTGCAAAACGATGAACAAACGCTAAGAATAGATATGATAAAAACGCCATGTTCCTCGTTTTCAAGAACTCCACGATTTCTGCTCGGCTTTCGTTTTCAAGAACTCCACGACTTCTGTTCTGCTTTTCGTTGTCCAACAAATGACGGCAGCCCGACAGAAAAAGATGAACAAGCGATAAATCGATAAACACGAATGGTAGTCAGTCCGGAAGCTCTCCTCACCTCGAAAACCCCAGGCTTCGCCCTAATGTTGCAAATTGAATGGTATTTAAACTTCTCCTCACTTCTCGAAAACTATAGAAGTAGCCCTTGGCCTTGCCGGCCTCTTCCGCCAAATCGGGCAAAGTCAATGGAAAAGACGATAAATACGAATATGGAGATAATAGCCTGGCGGAACGGTGAAATCACGACAGGAAAAATCAACGATGAAGCTGCGCATGAAGGTGAGGTTAATAATGAAAAGGTGACAACTTCTTTCCGTCTATGAATCTCAAACTAGCGCCGTCCACCAGCCTCTAGCGTGTCTATCAGCCACTTTTGCGTGGTGCCTATAGGCGCCCATTGGTGTCTATTTGGTGTCTAGCATAGCAGCTGTTGGCGTCTATTAGTGTCGATTAGCGCCAATTAACGTCTACTTCAAGGATTATCATTCATTAACGTTTTTTGCAGCGACCAGTCCTATCTAATAGTACTCTTTAGCCTCTGCTATGGTGCCTGTAGCGTTGTGCATCAGTATCTATTTGCTTCCATTTCAGTATCTGTATTAATATCTACTAGCGTCTATCAGAATTATAAAGCATCGAATTGGCGTCTACTTGTGTCTTCTTAGCGTCTTATTCTCTAAATTGTGGTGCTCCTGCTTGTAAACATACACGAAGGCTTTAATCCAGCACTGAAGATCGAGATATGCAAGCTACCTTCTTCCTGACGGATTTCCTTAGCACTTGCCCTTGTACGAACCTGCCTCGATGAGGTCGCGGGCTGTGCAGCTGAAGCAATGTTAGACAGTCTCAAGTTCTAGTATCAGCCTCAATCTTCGACCAAGCAATTACAATAGGTGCCCACGACTGCTTCTCACTCATATGACAAATAGGCTTCTTCAGCAAGTCCTTGTTCGGAATGATGGTTGTCCTTGAACGTATTTTCGTAGCGTGCGGCAGGTGCTATAGGCCCTAGAATAATTATCGAGATATCGAATTATCTCGAAATAAACTATAAAAGCGAGGAAGCACGAGTCAAAAAATAATCATTCTCAAATCTAAAATAAAATACGCTGTCTTTCTTCTAGAAGCGATTGCATATATTTGGTTCATCTTCCTCTATTTTGAAGAACTAGGATAGATTGCAGATTTTTCTCCAGATTGGAAGCCTACCCTGAATCCCATGACCAAAGCTACTAAACCTTCCTAAACTCTACAAAATTTCATTCTAATCTACTGTCCCAATCTCCCTCAAAGCAGCAATAAACTTCAAAATAACTGCCCGACTTTCCCGCCAAAGCCTTTCGAAATCTTCCGAAACTTTCGCTACTTGCATTGGCGGAGGCTTCGTCAGGGAAAGAGATTGAGAGAATATGAATGGCATAATAGATAGCCAACTTTACGCAATATATTCAAGACCGACATGAATTGATTCCGGAATAAGGCTCAGATTTCGCATTATGATCTATTCGCACGTCCAATCAAGATGACTCTGATCTTTAATGATATTCGGATTGATATCTGCTATTCTCGAAGAAAATCTTCTGAATACAGAATTCGCTCCGAACAGAAGAATCTTGTTCCTATCGAGACTCATTTGCCTCATAATTTGTCGACTTATATGAGGCCACGAATCTAAGGAAGCAAAAGTGATCGACTACAGCCGCATATAAGATTCAGTCAATCCTTCAGATTATGTCATACAAATCTTATATCTTACATATTAAATCAACGATATCGAAATTGTCTGAGCTTGCCAGCCTCGGAAGAATTTATCACTATACTAAAATTATGAAATTGAAGTGTGGAGTCGCGTATGGAATTAAACTTGGAGGTCCAAGGCATCTGCGACCATCGCCTGGAGGCTTGTATGTTTGGACGGGGAGGCCGGAGAGAGCGGGGGAAAGAGACGCACAATTAAAATTTGCTGCTTGGCTTGAAAATTGTGAATTTATTATTGATTTTCTTTCCTCCCCCCTACTAGCCTCCAATCCCCCCTTCAGGCCTCCGAATCTCCTCCAGATTTGACAGACAAGGCCCTGGGCCTAGGCCCGAGGCGCTTTGTCGGAAAAGTTATCATTCTTTGAAGAATTTTTATTCGATATTCTAGGATGAAATATTAGTATCTAATCAGAATAAACGTGGGATCCGTCTTGAATGAATTTGTAAATTTTAGATGCTTAAATTAAAATCATAGAAAGATTCTTCTTAAGAACCAATAATTTAAAGAATATATAGCGAATGATATACTTCAATCATTATTCTATTAAGAGATAAATATATCTCAATATTGAAATCGATATCATTGCAGTTTTGAATTAAATGAATTGAGAAATTGATAATCATAAACTAGTTTCTTTGATTTCGGTTTTCTATTCTCATATGAGTTTTATATTATTTAATAGGGTTCCCTCGGAATACCGGTCCGTATTTTCCGAGTAAAGCAAACGTTTTTCTCTAACGGCTTTAGCTTTGGGGTCTTCAGCCCTGTTAACTTCGGAGCAGATCGGAGAGAGCCCGGAGCGGGTTCCGGAGCCGGTAAAAGGGGGTTGGGGAGCGGGTTCCAGGGTTCCGGAGCCAGTTCCGGAGCGGGTTCCGGAGCTGGTCCCGGGGAGGTTCGTAACCGGGTTCCGGAGCGGACTCCGGAGCACAGGTTCGGAGCGGGTTCCGGCGCCGGCTCCGGAGCGGGTTCGGGAGCGGGTTCCGGAGCGAAACCCTGCCCAATAAATTTGGTGGCTCTTATATTGCAACTCCAAGATGCCTTGTTTACTTTAATTGTAACTTTGAGGTTCCACAAGTCGGGCTCAAGATCACCGCTCCGGGCAAAGCAGGCTTCAAGATGGGCTCAAGAAGGCCTTGCCGGTAAAATCATGGTTTCAAGTTGGACTCAAGAACACATTTGTGGTGAAATCCAGGTTCCGGGGACTTGGGGCAAGCCGCAGGCTAAAATTCTGCTGGTTCCATCACGTTGCCAGTGGCTGACCCAGCACGACTTGTCAAGGTTACTCTTTTTCAAGAACTTCAATATCTCCGAGTCCCCTCGGCGTCACAAACCTCACCATTATTGGGGAATCGCAATTGAAGCCCTTTTGAAGCCGACTTCAAATTGGCTTCACATGCCGTTCAAACACCGTCCCGGTATTGGGGAATCGCACTTGAAGCCCTTTTGAAGCCGGTTCAAAGTGGCTTCACATGCCGTTCAAACACCGTCCCAATATTGGGGACCTGCGTTTGAAGCCCCGTTGAAGCCGGCTTCAAAATTGGCTTCACATGCCGTTCAAATATCGTCCTCAGTATTGGGGAACCGCATTTGCAGCCCCGTTGAAGCCGGCTTCACATTGGCTTCACATGCCGGCATTTGAAGCCCTGTTGACGCCGGCTTCCAATTGGCTTCAGGGAATTACAGAGCTAGTTTTGCAGTGTCACGGAGCTAGTTTTGCGGTGTCCCGAAGCCCCGCTGAAGCCGGCTTCGGGATGGCTTCGGGGAATTAAGGAGCTGGTTTGCAGTGTCACGGAGCTAGTTTTGCGGTGCCCAGCCCCAATTTAAGTAACTTGGATCAAGAAACCTTGTTGAAGCTGGCCTCATTCACTGCTTCGGGCGGTGTTGAAACCGCCGGTGAAATCATGGTTTCAAGTTGAACTCAGACCCTACAGAATATAGGCCACGAAAAGGTTAACAATTTATGTGGGTATGCATGCAGGGTTGTGTAATACTGTAACCTTCTAGACTTCTAGGTACGCCATTCCGGTGAAATCATGGTTTCAAGTCGGGCGCAAGAAGAAAGCTCCGGGGAAATCATGATTTCAAGATGGGCTCAAGAAGCATTGCCGGTGAAATCATAGTTTCAAGTTTGGCTCAAGAACACCTTGTGGTGAAATCCAGGTTCCGGGGACTTGGGGCAAGTCGCAGGCTAAAATTCTGCTGGTTGCATCACGTTGCCAGTGGCTGACCCAGCACGACTTGTCAATGTTATTCTTCTTGAAGAATTTTCCCCGAGTCCCCTCGGCGTCACAAACCGTCCCAGCATTGGGGAGTCGATTCATGACACATCTTGCCATGCCCCCGAATTCTGCCATCCTATTTGATCAAACTCTTTTGGCGATGCTGATTCATCCCACACTGTAAACACGTCCCCT